AACTATCCAGGAGTAAAGCTCTTTTCTGTCAGAGAAAGCATCTCTTTGAGAAAAGCTTTGTTTCAACTGACTCCCTGAGATGAGGGAGTGTAGCCCTGAGGGGTGATTGCCTCTGGCATAAGCTCTGACCTTGAGCACCCAGACGAGCAAACACAACCCACTGGGGGACTGGGACAGGTGAAGGCCTGATGAGGCAAAGCACCTGTCCTAATGGGAGTTTAGAAATGGCAAAAACCTCCCTTGTTAGATTTTCAGTCTGTACGCAAACCACACAGACCCCGAAAAAACAGACAAAAAGCCCTACCTTCAGTAACAGGAAAAGCCGCCACTGTAGTGTGGGAAACTGTTTCTGGGATAGAGGGGCTAAACTGAGACCAAACTGGATACTGTCTGGGAGAAAGACTCTGAAGAAACAGAGAAGGGACATAATCCTCCCCAGAAAATAATATGACCTGAAAAAGCTGCTAGAGTTTGAGGCTGATTAGGGGGAGAAAAAAAAGCCCCTACCTCCAAAGGCAGCTAGCAGAGGAACAGAGCTGCAGACAGATACCTGAAGCTCTGCATCTGGGCGGGGGAAGGAAACAAGCAAAATGAGAATAAGATCAGTGGGAGAAAAATCTCTCTGAAAGAGCTATGAAAAAGCTGTTGTAAATGATCTTGTTTTTCACTGACGGGCTAAGGCAAGCACAAGCCCCGAGGAAAGTTGCTATCAGGAATGCCAGCCTCAATGCCGGCTAACGAGGCAGGTGTGGTTCTGATCCAGGGCCAGTGTCTGATGAAGTTGAAACACCTGTTAAAGCCAGCTGAGGAGAATAGAAACCTCCCAATGTGCCATAGCTAAAAATGTAAAATGCTCGTTCAAATCTCCCATTACAAAAGCAAAAAACTTTGTTCAAACCTCCCGGGCAAGAATTTGTAAGCAAGTCTAGTAAAAGAGAACCAGTTGACTCTCAAACCCGATAAGAAATATGGGAAATGATATAAGGGACTGATATAAGGGACTGATATGGGACTGATATTATTATGGACTGATATAAGGAAAATGCATTCTGAGAAAGGTAGTTTTTCCACTAAAGATGGCGGAATTGCCCTGAAACACTTTTGTCAGCTCTAAAAATTAAAATACAGCCTTTAAAAGAATAAGGAGGAAAACCACCTAAGGGTTTAAGTGTCCGTTCCAATAACAAATTGAAAGGATACTGAACTAGGTGCTTCGTGGTTTGGGGCTCCGTTGGTAAAGTGTCTTATTTACCCTAATAGCTGTGAAAAGTTTTTACGGTAGTTGGATGACAAAAAGCTACTTCTATAAGAGCAAACAAGCCACTTTAAAATCCTTAAAACAAGGGAAAGCAGTTTATACACTGAACTTTGTCTTATATATGAAAAAACTTGTTGAAATTAAAAATTTTTTGCCTTTTGAACAAACTGCCTGCAATGAGTAATTCCTTTGCAAATCTAATAAGGAGTCAAGGAAACAGGCATTCAAAAAAGAAATGACTGCTTTACAGATGGAAAACAAACTTAAAATCTAGCTGTCTTACAAAAGAGTTGCTTTACCTAAAAGTTCCTTATAAGAAATCAATGCTAAATATCACCGCTGCTAATAACATCAGGAGTTAAAGCTAACGAAGTAAAAATACTAAATCCTGAAACTCAAGTGAAATGGAAAGATCCCTGCTCGGGATTATGAAAGGGTCCTGATCCTGTTTTAATATGGGGTCCAGGACATGTTTGTGTTTTTTCGAAAGAGGAGAATGAAGCTCGGTGGTTACCTGAGCGTTTGGTAAGGAGCGTGAAACTAAGAAGGGTCAGCTCCAATGACGTTCCTATAAAGGAACCAGAATGAAAGTGGCTCGATTAGTGCTTCTGAGGTTTTGTCACTGGTTAATGCAAACAGTGAGGAAACAGAGTTAGAGCTGTGCCACTTTTGGCTTTACTAGCTTCTTTAGAAAAATACCTTATATCACCTAATAGCTGTGCAGTATTGGCGAAGAGCTTTACCGCAGCTAAATATG